TTTTGACATTCTGCCAGTTGATGGGACATACAACAGTGACTCTTCGGTGTGACAATGAGCCTGTGCTGGTTCAGGTTTTGCGCATGGCAGTGAATGCCAGGCTGAGCATGGGATTGCCAACCCGAGCTTCAACGCCGATGGCTTACTCCCATTCGAACTCCTTGGTGGAGAATGTGGTTGGACGTGCAAGAGCGCTGGCAGGAAGCTTGATGTTTGCTTTGAGTGAGAAAGTGGGTGTTACATTTTCAAGCAACAGTGCATGGTGGTCATGGGCTCTCAGGCATGCATGTTGGATTCTGAATCGATTCAGTACCATGAGGGCTGTGACACCATATGAGCTTGCGTATGGACGTGAATATACAGGTGCACTTTGCGAATTTGGTGAACCAATTTTTGGATACCACAGGACAGCTGCCAAATCCTCAGCAAGATGGAAGAGAGCAATCTTCCTGGGCAAGATCGATCCCCAGGACTCATACCTTCTGTATGATGGCAGCAATTTGGTACTCACACGAAGTGTACGAAGGATATCAACATCCTGGAAAGGACACCTTGCTTTCTACATGAATTTCACGTGCTGGAGTTGGAATTACAAACCCGGTTTTGGGGGAAGAGTTGTTCCAACAAAGGAGCAGCGTGCTGCAGTTGGAGCCAATTTCAATCAGCCTGAAGGCCAAATTGAGCCATCTGCTTTCTTCGATGAGGAAGCAGAACAAGTTCGTCAGAAGTTCCTTGAGGAACAGAAAGAAGAGGAAGAGGCTGGTGAAATGGCACTTCATATGACAAGCCTGCAGTTGGGAGCCTGGAAGTGGAGCAGAAACAAACAGCAGTGACGTCTGGAGAGACGGTTGTTGTAGATGATGATGAGCAACCGCGAACTCCTCCGATGGATATGCAGGAGGAGAAGCGATCCTTTTTCCAGGGTCAACCTGCAGTGCCCTCTACAGCTGCAACCTCTTCAGCCGCAGCATCTTCTGCAATGCCTTCAAGTGGATTGGAGGTGCCTACAACTCCAAGAGCAGCTCCAACAACAAGGATGCATGGAGCTGGAACTGAGGAGGAGCAACAGTCAAAGAAGGCTCGTGTGGAGGATGTGAAAAGACAAAGGATTGAGAGAATTGTGGCTGAGCATGAGAAAGCAGTGAGAGCGGTGAAAATTTCAGAGAAGGAGGTCTTCCACACCATGGATGATTATGAAGCAGACTTGAGATTGGATGATCACAGCGATACAGATGTTTGGGCTGGAGAAGATGAAATCACTGTCTCTGGTATGCCAAAGGCATTGTGGTGCGACGATGACACCAGCAAGCGCCCAGCTGAACCAGAACAATGGGTGGATCAGCTTGCCAACCAAGTTGAACTTCAAAGGTTGTGCTCGATGGGTGTTCTAGCCAGGGCAGAGGATACAGCACAGCTCACAGCTGAAAAGCTCACCACAAAATTTGTGCATGATTGGAGGATCAAGAGCTGCGTGGATGAGGAAGGAGTGGAGAAGAAGTGTTGGTTGAGGCGATCACGCCTAGTGGCCCGGGAATATGCATTCTGGGAAAAGCGCCTGGACACCTACAGTCCAGCAACCTCCACTCATATCCTCAATCTGCTGCCATTGATGTACTTGCAGAAATGTGGTGAACGAGATGCTGAGACACAGGCTGACACCAATGAGGTGACACTTGCATGTTTGGACGTAAAGGATGCCTTCCTGATGGTTCCCCAAGACAAGCCGGTGAAAATCAAAGTTGGTGATGAAGAGTTCCTGGTGAAGAGAAATCTACCAGGACAGCGCATGGGAGCAAAGAACTGGTACTTGTTTTTGAGGGAGTTTATGGAGAAGGAATTGCAGTGCAAATTTTGCATTGAGCAGCCGTGCTTAGCAAAAGGGCCACAAGGAGTTTTCATGCTGCATGTGGATGACATTCTCTTTTGTGGCAGTGCAGACTGGTGGAAGAACGTTGTGGTGCCCGAGTTCCAAAAGCGTTTTACAATCAGTTGGGATGAGCTGGCAGGAGTTGGATCTTCCATTTCGTTCCTGAAGAGAAGAATCTTGAAGACAGAGAAAGGTCTTGCATTGATTCCTGGGACGAATGCAGAAAAGGTGATCGAAGCCTATGAGTCACACTTTGGAAGAGTACGAGCTCAAACAGTTTCCTGCGACCAATCAATGCTGGCCGAGGACTTGACAGACGAGCTGTCTGACCGAGACTCTTTCATGTTCAGGTCAGTGGTTGGAGTTTGCCTTTACCTGGCACGTGACAGGCCTGACCTGCTATTCCCTGTCAAAGAACTCAGTGGATTCATGAGCAGGCCAACGCATGGAGCCCTCCAAAAGCTGAAGAAGTTGATTGGATATTTGAAGAATACAACTGACTACTGCGTTGTTTTGGAGCCACCAGTGCCAGGGCAGGGAAAATGGAGATCAGCAGAAAAGTTCTGGGTGCTGGAAAGCTTTACAGATGCAGACTGGTCGTCAAACCAGAGGCACCGCCGTTCCACAAGCTGCGGAATACACCTGGTATGCGGTGCATTTGCATATGGTTCCTCCAGAACTCAGAAGGTTATCTCTTTGAGTTCTTGTGAGCGCGAGCTCCACGCAATGGTGAGCACATTGTGCGACGGAATCTTCCTACGTCGCTGCATGGAATTCCTCACTGGAGCTGTCATTGAGCACTACCTCTTTACAGACAGCAGCTCAGCAAAGCAATTGGCTAGCCGGCAGGGTGTTGGAAAGGTGAAACACATAGCCGGGAAGCTTCTATGGATACAAGATGAAGTGGCACATCAACGAGTGGCATTGGTGCAGATCCCAACGCTGTGGAACCTGAGCGATATTGGGACAAAGCCCCTTGGATCCAAGCGCCTGAGGCTATTGTTGCATGAGCTGGGTGTTTCGATGGAGGAAGGAAATTGCATTGTGGGCCAGGCAGAATATGAAGAACAGTCTTCAAGGCATGGTGGAGGACGAGAAGTAGCAGTGTTGGCCAAGAACATTGCTAGGATCCTGGTTATGATGGGCCTTGGGCCGACGCCTGGTGCTGCAATGGAGATTGAATCCAACGAGCAGTGCAATTTGGCAGACAACGTGGTGATGCAATCAACTGGTCATGGCAATGAGATGTTTTGGATGATTTTGATCCTGGTTTTGATCGTTGCTACATGGGCAATCTTTTTCTGGCGTTTGGTGAAATGGCTGAAGCAAGTTGCAGAGGGACATGAACACCTTTGCTTGCAAGTGGCCGAGCTGGACACTTACGCTGGTGGAGTCAGAACTGACTGTGATCAAACGATTCGAAATGCAGAAAGATTGCGGCAAAACATGATCAGGCTGGAAAATCAACAAGAGATGGTGTCAGATGGAATGGATTCTTTGCACTATGCCGTGGTTGAGATGGGAGGATATGTAAGGCATTCAGACCTTACTGCACAGCAGAGGAGCCACATGTACACGCAAGAACGAGGAAACATGGTGGCTGCAAATGCAATGGGTCAGCAAAGATACCTCCAGGTCATCAGACAGCAAAGCCGAGGTTTTGCAATTGGTGAGGACACTGACATGGAAGTGAATGAAGGAGGTGAATCTGAGATGGACTCAGATGCAATGGACCCAACAGTTGGTGCAGAATCTGAAGGACCATGGACTCCTCTCATCACGATGTTCAGAGGAGAAATCAATACAGCACTGAGCATGGAGAACTTCCGCGATGCAAGTGAGTTGCAGAGGATTGTCCTCATCATCCTGGACAATCTGAATTCTGGGAACTTCAGAATCAACAGTTCTCGAAATGCCATTCTCAATGAGATCTCCAACAGGTTGATGTCTCTGATGCCAAGGACAAGAGCTTGGAATTCTTCAGTAGCAGACCGCTACAACGGATACGCCATCACTGTGCGACAATTGATGGTCGTGGAGGATGGAACATGACTTGCGTATGTTGGAAAATCGGAGATGAAGTTTGAAAAGAATGAAAGATGGAGGAAGAAGCGGGGAATCCAGGCCACTCCCCGTGACCATAATGCCTGGGACAGCAAATGAGTGCGACCAAACTTCACAAACGTGAAGGGTTAGTTGAAGCGAGAGCTTGCGCTGCACACTTCAAAGGAGGAGTGCAAAATATAGGTCGATGCACTCATAGGTTCACACATGTCAGTTGCATCCATGAGAATTCATAGGATGACACGCACAAATCAGCAGTGTGGTAGGATTTCAGTCCACGTCACATGACACGTGGAACTCGATATACTTCGAGGCCCTGAGGTTCAAGAAAAGGTGCGGCAGCCCCTTTGATTTCGCGTTGAACCTTTGCAAAAACATATTTGACATGTCATAGTACAAAAAAAAATAGGCCGATTTCCCTTCAATGATGCTGGATGACCTCTGGGAAGTTAAATTTTTTTCCGCATAGCACGAGTCCGTTCCGAAGAGGTGGAAGGTAGGTCTATTAAAAAAACTACTTGATTGTCATAGTACAGAGAAAAAACGTCGAATTCCTCTCAGTCGTGCCGTTTGACCTCCGGGAAGTTAAGTTGTATATTTATAGCACCAATCAGCCCCCAAAGGGTTTGGACGAATTTCTGTAACACAAACGTGCAAATTGTTTTTTTGAAATCGCGTGTTTGTTTCATATCCCCATAATAGTACAATTGGGTGTCATAATTTTCCGTTTTTTTGGTTTTCCCGTGCATTTTTTTTGAACGTTGTCCAGAGTCCAAAAATACTCTGTTTGATTGACATTCACATTTACGAACAAAAAATGTTACGAACCTTTAGGGGCGTCGTTTTGACAAAACACACCAAACAAAATGCAATTGTTACATTGTTTTGCAACCTTCAAAACGACCAATCCTGCAGCTTGAACAGGACCCCAAGCATGATTTATTACACCGTTTCCTGTTGTTTTGTTATTTTCTCTTTGAATTGGAAACATGTGGCAATGGAGCAAGGAACAATTTGTTGGATGTGTGCTTTCGGCCTCCAGATATGCAGTTAGGCATCCCCAAGGGTTTTGCCAGCCATGATATTGTTCCACACGATACGTCCCGGACTTATATTTTTTCTGCAAATCCAATGCTGCTTGTCCAGCATGACTTGCTTTGAAGATGGGATCCCCTTGAGCAAGAGGGCGAACATCACCATAGATGATATAGCCGGGCCTCTTTCAACATGGCGCCTCAGCTGGGATTCATCTTTGCTTCTGAGCCACATTTTTGAAATTCTCGCTGCAGAAAAACTTGGATTTGTTGTGGATGCGGAAACAGGACCCAGCAGTACAGATGTCCTTTACATGCTAGCAGGCTGCTCTCAAAGAGCGCCGGATGATGTAAAGGCCGATTGCATCCTTCCTCGGCGTTTCCATTTCTGTTTCGAAAGCTGGCAGGGCTACTCCTCGTACGTTCAGCCACTGCTGGAACAGCTGGAAGAGCGTGCGCCAGTGAATTTGGGATCCGTTGGCTATCCGGGAACCTCGGGACTTTTCGTGCAAGGTGCTGCACTTGATGCGGGCCTTCAAGACAGTGGCCTTTCCTTGGAGTTCTACAGCAATTACGATGCAAGATGGTTTCACCCAGAGAAGTACACACCAAATGTTTCAGATGTGAATATGAGCCGACTACAAACTTGTGATGAAAGTGTGAACTCCTACTATGGGTATCTTGGAGCAGAATATCTCAATCGAACCGGAGATTGGGGTGGAGTAAAAATTGAGAATGGCACTGGGACGGTGCTGTTGAAGTGCTGGGAAGAAAAGTGGTGGCTTTCACCAGTATGCCGCAGCAATCCAGACGATTGCATGCCTGTGATTACTGGGGGAACAGGATATGGTTTGTGGCTGATGCTCCAGCAAGCGTTTTGGCACAACATGCCTTTGGCATTCGCAACTGGAAAACGTGAACCAATAGATGAATATGTAGTTCTGGGACGGGAACTTCAAAGTCTCGTCTATTGGTGGACTCCGGAATCTTTGCCGAACAATGTGACGAGTATAGGATGGGGGTAAATTGTGTATTTCCTCAACATGTCTCATGTGTTTGTAATCGTTTTGCTTTACCGGTTCAAATCTGGGGCTTCATTCACTTGAACAACTACAGATTGTAATGGATTTGCCTCTTTACATGTTTTGGTTCTTATAAGATTGAGGTCAAAGAGCACCGTTTTGAAGGGTTTTTATTTGTCGCATGATCCATCCCCAGAGCTCTGAGTGCATTTCCCTTTTCTAAGGATGTGAAATTTGCCCTATCAGAAGCAACAGCGGTCATCTTTCCAAAGCACAATCCGGCAGAGCATAGACGGCAGATCTACAAGAGCCAACGACAGGCCACGGTTCTGACAAAGTGGGCATCTGCAGACATGCAGAAAGTGGCCAATCGCGCTCTTGCGTTGGCCGAAAGCCTCACTTTGTCAGAGCCCGAAATCCAAGAATTGCTGGTTGCTCATTTGGCATCAGGTGATGATCCGTGGACAAGTGCATGCAAATGGCTCAAACGCACTTCGCACTGGACAACCTGGTTGCCGAGCGACACTCAATGTGCGGAAGGCAAGGGCTTGGTAGATGCCCAAGGTGTGTTTGTCTTGAAAGAAAGTCATGCGATATCTTGCTCAGTATGCCCAGTTGGAACCTACTCCAAAAGACTGGAGACGACTCGAATCTGTGAAGCATGTCCTCCTGGTGAGCATCAGAGCCTTCCAGGGGAGACGAGCTGCACTCCTTGTGAAGTTGGAACGATGGCAGCTGAGAAAGGATTGATGGAGTGTGTACCGTGCCGATTGGGCCAATATGCTAATGCCACTGGTATGACTTTTTGCCATCAATGTGGTTATTCCATGGCACCAGCACAGCTCCGTCTCTGGACCACAAGTCAAAAGGTTGTCCAAGACGGAGAAATGTGGATTCAGGTGCAGGGAGCTACGGATGAATCGATGTGTGGCTGCATTCCAGGAACGTATTTGTCACCGATTAGTTTGGATTGCGACGTCTGTGGTGTTGGATCCGAATGTCCTGGCTCCAGCAAGTTGGTGCTCCTTCCTGGTCGGGTACTTAGGTAAGGTAGAGACTAAGTGGATGCAAAGACTCCCTCTGTCGAAACCAACGCTTTAAGATGCTTTAACCCTATCTTATATCATCTTGGATTAAATTGTATGATATTGTATGATCGAAGGAAATTTAGAAGTCAAACTTCCGACAATATGGACAGATGAAAAGCAGAGATGGGAAGAGTCAGAGAGAAGAGAAGAGTAAAAGAGAGAAGATCAGAGAAGAGAAAGAGTCAGAAGAAAGAAGATGCAGGTGCGCGAAAAGGTAGGAAAGTCGCGAAACACAGTGTTTTTCCAATGATTTGTGGCTCCGGAGGGTCGAAAAGTAGGCTCGCTAAAGCGGCAGGTGCGGAGCCATCTGGCCAGATGGGAGATGAAAAATTGCACGCCGTTGTGGCGCGAAGCACATTTCGAAGTCAAAATGCACAAAGCACACCAGGTTCCACTTTTGGAAGTTGCGATGTCGAAAAAGTGCACGCCGTTGTGGCGCGAAGCACATTTCGAAGTCAAAATGTACAAAACACACCAGGTCCGGACCACTTTTGGAAGTTGAGATGTCGCGTGGCAGGCGCAAGGGATTGTGCACCTTGTCAAAAGTGAGCAAAACGTGAGGGTTTTGTAGCCTTGTCAACTACAACCACCACTACACCACACTACACTCCAATACACCACACTACAACTACAACTACACCTTCACTACATTCCACGACGCTACACTACACTCCACTACACTCCACTACACTCCACTACACTACATTACACTAATTTACACCCAATTACACTCAATTACACTGCATTACACCACACCACACTACACTACACTACATTACATTACATTACACTACACTACACTCCACTACACTACATTACACTCCACTACATTACATTCTACTACACTACACTACATTACACTACACTACACTCCACTACGCTACACTTCAATACAAAGACACTACACTACATTCTACTACACTACACTCCACTACACTCCACTACACTACACTCAATTACACTACACTACACTACATTACACTACACTACACTACCCTACATTGCACTACACTACACTACACTACACTTGTGAAATGCCTTCAGCCTACTTCTAAAGAATTTTAAACAAATAAAAAAAGCGAAAACTAATCCAAAAAAAAGCAAAACCCAATCCAAACCTCAATTAGAAAAAAGCAAAAAAAAGCAAAAAAAAAAGCAAAACCAAAAGCAAAAAAAAGCAAACTATTTGTTTTCACTTTTTTTTCGCTTTTTTTTTGCTTTGTTTTTGCTTTTTTTTTTTTGCTTTGTTTTTGCTTTTTTTTTCCGCCTTTGGTTTCGCATTTTTTTCGTTTTGTTTCTTTCTCAGGTGACCTGATGACCGGGACCTTCGAAAATGTAAGACACTCGTGGAAAAAAGCGAAAAAAAGTAAAAAAAAAGCGAAAAAAAAAGCGAAAAAAAAGCGAAAAAAAAGCGGAAAAAAAAGCGAAAACAAAGCAAAAAAAAGCGAAAAAAAAGTGAAAAACAGTGAGCACAAATATTTTGCTTTTTTTTTTTTTTGCTTTTTTTTGCTTTTGGTTTTGCTTTTTTTTTGGCTTTTTTCTAATTGAGGTTTGGATTGGAGGTTCCTTTTTTTTTGCATTTTTTTTTTGCTTTTTTCTAATTGAGGTTTGGATTGGGTTTTGCTTTTTTTGTGGATTGGTTGTCGCTTTTTTTAGTTCAATTTGTTTTTCTATCGTTTTATAGAAGTTGCCTGTAAGCCGTGTCACAACACTACACTAACTACAACTACAGCTACAACTACAACAATACTACATTTACACAACGCCACACTACACTACACTACACTACACTCCACTACACTACACTGAATGACACTGCACTACACCTACAGCTACAACTACAGCTGCAACTGCAACTACAACTACAACTACACTAATTGCATTACACTACACTACACTAATTGCATTACACTACACTACACTACACCACACTACACTCAATTACACTACGCATTACATTACATTACATTACAGTACATTACATTTACTTTACTTTACATTACATTACATTACATTACCATACAGTACATTACATTACGTTACAATGCACCCATTACACCACCACATATGCAACTGCAACTGCGCTACACTAATTACACTACACCATAACTACAGCTCCACTACAGTACAACTACAACTACAGCTGCACTACGCCACACTACATCCAGCAGTTGCGGGTGAGGTGACCGACCAGGTGACCACTGCAACCATTGCAGCCACTCCAAAAAACACAGCACCAACCACCTTTCGGTCCATCACTGGATTCGCTCTGCCATCCGTGATTTAAACCAAAAAAATCTCTCCTATAGGTTTCCTATTTTTGAAACTTCCGCCACCGCCTTGTGCGGTACTACTGGTATTATGTTGTTTTTGTTTTTGAACTTTATGATATGCATCTGTAAAATCAAAAAGATAAATAGATAATCACACACACAGAATATCTATCTATCTATCTATAAATATAAATAAACAAATAAATAAAAATATATATATATATTCAATTCAATTCACATACATGAAGACATGTATACACCATATATAACCCTCATGTGCAGTGTATAGATCCAGGGGGTGAACGTGAGCCCGATGTTGCTTTTGGCTCAAGTAAAATAGAGCCCCGCAGCTCGATATTGTGTTTTCATGGTAGCGCGTGAGCCTGGTGAGTCCGACGCCGATTGCGAGTTGAGGCAAGGGGACCAGAGGCACAGTAAGTCGAGGTGTATTGCAAGTAGCTCATGAGACGGGGAGGGAGGAGGAGGAGGCGAGCCGAGCGGTTGGTTCAGCCGCAGGCTCGGAACTGGGAGCGGCTGGTTCAGCCGCCCCAGTAGAGATAGTAGAGGAAAGGAAGGAGAAAGAAGAAGAAAAGGAAAAGAAGGCTGTTCCAGAGCCTAAAGGGGCCCCAAAGACAAAAGAGACCAGAGAAAGCCCAGAGAGCCCCATTGGGTGGTCACGAGAGCCACAGTGCTTACAGCAAGACACCCTTGCAAGGCCATGACAGGGATACAGCCACCACCGTCCGGGATCAAGCCGCGGACTGTCACAGAGATGCCTTAAAAGAAAAAAGCCACTTCGTACTTCGCTACAGTGCATGCCAGTGCGCACTGTTGCAGTGAAGATCTTCACTGCAGAGAGGTAAGGTCGAAGTAGTCGAATACAAGAAAAAGTGTTGTGACACTCAGGGGAGCTTCACCAGCTATGGTCTGTTCAGTCATCTCGTGAAGAGCTTCGCATCAGGAAAATGACCGCAGCATACTCGCTGGAGTTGTCCAAATTGCAAAAGAAGCCAGAATCGAGGTACTCATGCAGACTGTGAGCCAACCCGAGCAGCGCACAAATGAGTCCAGCAAGACGAGCTAAGCCCAGAGCAAAGCCCAAGATCGGATTCTATAGACTTCAGCAACACTATCCAGGTGGACATCTCCAGGTTGAAACTGCGAGGTCGGCAACTTCTCCTGGTGGCACAATAAGGCCAGCCATGACTTCGATTGGTTTAGCAAATCCAGCAGATCAAGCACCGACCCAGACATACCAGGTCCGTGGCTTGAGAGGCCAGCCTGAAGTCCGTCAAGGGTCAGGGCCAGATCCATCAGAGCGGTTGGAACTTACACAAAGGCCGCCCAGTCAAAGCCCAGCGACGGACGCGCCTTGGAATCGTCCGCGTGGAAGCGAGTTCAAGAGGACTCGCTGCAAAGGCTTTAGACTGCGATCCGCGCGTCCCGCCAATATGGCAACTTCCGAGGACAATTGAGGCTTGCGAAGAAACAAGGAGCTAAGGTGGAGCGTGGATTGAAAGAACAGATCGACAGGTCTGGAAAGGGGCGACAAGAGACCTTTAAAAGGAATTCAATTCGGTTGAAGTCCGTTTCGCGACATCCAATTTGACTTCGTTTAGTGGCAAAGGCAATTCCATCATCAAGTGTAAAAGCCAAGCCAGGACCAAAAGCGAAGGTGAAAGCAAAAGCCCGGACTTTGGCCCGACACCGAGTGCGAGGACCAACTGCACTTGGACTCAAGGTGCACGGTCGTGCCCTAAAGCTAAGTGAGAAGATCCAGGACTTAGCCAACAGGTGGGCTGCGACGCACCAGCTTTCAGCCTCCTTTCTTGAGAGTCGTTTTCAGGTGAGGCACTTAGCAGCAAAACCACTCCAGCAGGACACCGGAGCTAAGGGCACTGTGGCAGCATCGATCACTCGATGCTTGTGGGCACTTGTTGGTCGTGCGACGACCGGAAGAGAAGTTAGAGCTGGGCGTTGAAGAGTATCTTAGGAAGAAGGCCGAGGCCAATGGAGAGCCGCAGCGAGCGGACGTTCCGTCCGCCGAGGAGTGAAAAGGAGCGCAATAGCCATCCATTGGTAAGGGTAACATGTGGCAACAAATCCAAGAATTGGCAGAGACCATCCAACAACTTAGGCAACCCCAAATAAACCCAGTCGCCGAAAATGAGCGGCCGAGAGAGGGTCAGGTAGGTGTTCAGGCATTATCACAATCCGTAGGTGAGTTGGCACAGTCTTTGAAAAAGGACACCACGGACAGGAAAATCCTCATGGACACCAAAGGTTTGGGAAGACCTGAAGTGTTTGACAACAAAGAAGAAAGCTTTAGAAGGTGGATTCGGTCAAGCAACAATTTGGTTGCAGGGGTATTTGGTCCACACTACGACAAAGTTTGGGCAAGTTGTTTGGATTCAGAAGACCCCATAGACCTTCAGGATTTGGCCAATAATCAACACCCCGATGTGGATAACATAGAAAAGGTTGGAGAACAGCTGTATCGGGTGTTGTGCCACTCTTACACCGGGGAAAGTGAAGACCTTGTTGTTGGAGCTGGTAATGGCTATGAAGCCCATAGGAAGTTCGCCGCAGTGGAAAGCATTGGCCGAAGTCGCCATAGCTTTTGGAGAGAGACTCTACTTCAGAAATATGGGAAGGAACACGTGTCCTGAAAGGTCAAGCGAGGCATTGGGCTCCGACGAATGCTGAGTGCCGACAGATGGGATCCTACTGGATGGGATCAATTGAGAGGAATACCTTGGGAGCTGAGTGCACCAAGGCCAGCTGCAGGAGAGCGGCTGATCAGTGAAGACCGGTTAGTTGTACCTCCGCCACCGCCTGAAGCGCGAGTGGCACCACCTCAAAGAAGGAGAAGATGTGCACAAGCATGGAGCAACTGAAGGTTTCCCAGGCTGTACTTGTGTCCTTGAAAATCGAAGGACAACTGTGCCTCATACAGAAGCCTGCAGGGCAAGAATCATTGAGGCAATGGAGAAAGACGAGACTGGAGCAGAAAGAATCCAGGCGCATGCAAAGAAGCGCAAAGAAGACCAAGAGAGAAACAGACCAAAACCAACGGTCGTTTCGACCGGAGAGAGGTATTAGCGTGGAAGATGCAGAAGGCAGACCAGTTGAACCGAGCGGCGTTGAACATCCGCCCCCAGAGATACCGGAAGATCCAAACGAGAGAGCGAAGCTCAGAAGGCAAGTGATGCGCGGATCATCAACTTCTGAAGCAAAGGCAAAGCGGAAAGTGTCGCCACAGCAAGTGAAGCGACCTGGGGGTCTGAGTACCGCATCAGGACCACCACTGACTAAGGCGAAACCATCGCCGACGCAAGGAGTGAAGCGTACCACCGAGGAAGGTATGGGAGATCTGGAAAGTAGAACCACTGCTGAGCAAGCGGCCGTTCCAGCCGCAGCACCAGCAGCGGAGAGTGCACCAGACACAAGAGCACTAGACCTGAAAGGTGCAGCTTTAGCTGTATTGACGGAGGTTGGTATGGGCAACATCAAGACTTTAGTGGAAGACCCATTGCTCAGGGATTTTCATAGAAGGTGGGTACAAGCGTGGAAAATCCAACGCTTCGGTATTCTACCACCCGCAGCATGATGTCCGTGTGATGGTGCATGGAGATGATGACTGATGACTTCCCAGCACTAGGTGATCAGAAACATTTCAGTGAGCTGGAAGAATTGCTGCGCAAGTCCTATGAGCTGAAATGTCTCGGAGTCATCGGAGACAAACCTGAGGACAAGAAAGAAGCTCATGCCCTGAACAGGTTGATTCGGTGTGGTGAAAGCGAAGGAAGACCAGAAGTATGGATTGAACCTGATCGCAGGCATGTGGACCTGCTGATCCAGAGTTTTGGTATGGTAAACGCGAAAGGCGTAGAGAGTCGAGATGTGAAGAAATCTGCCGACCAACGAGCTCTTGAAACAAGGAGCCCCTTGCTTCCAAAGGAAGCTGCGTCAGAGTTCAGATCCGCAGCAATGCGGGCAGCTTATCTGTCGCAAGACAAGCCAGACATTGGCCATGCTGTCAAGAGCCTCGCGACACGGCTGGTTCAGCCAACCGAGGCATTAGTTTGACAGACCTGAAGAGACTGATCAGATACTTGATCAGACACCCAGACTTCGCTCAGGTTTTCAAAGCACAAAAGACACCTGAGGGACTCGTTATACAGGTCGATAGCGATCAAGCAGGAGACACAGTGACCAGAGAATCGACCACAGGCATGATTGCCTTCTATGGGCGGCACGTCCTGAAGCCCAGTTCAAATGTGCAGTCAACTATTGCACTTTCGACAGGTGAATCAGAGTACTATGCTCTGGTTAAAGGTGGAAGTACCGGGCTCGGAATTCAGTCCCTATTTGCTGACTATGGTATAAAGGCAGCTGTCACCATTGAGTCAGACTCGAATGCTGCAAAGGGTACCGTCAACCGAGTTGGACTTGGCAAAGCACGCCATATCCAAACCCGATACTTGTGGCTACAGGAAAGAGTAGCCAAAAACCACCTTAAAGTCGTGCATGTTCCAGGTAAACAGAATCGATCAGATGTTCTGACGAAACCTGTGCCTGGCACGCAGATGCACCAGACTATAACAAAGTCAGGGTATGTGTATCTGACAGATCGGAGCAAAGGCCAGCTGAATCTACTCAAGTGAAGTCCCTGGCCAGACTCCGCTACCTCTAGCCGCTAGCCGAAGGAGAACTAAGAGCCGGAGGTTGACGGTTAACTCTTTGCGAGTGCATAGATGCCACTCTTCAAGAGAGGAGGAGTGAAGACATGTAATGACCATGTACAACCCTCATGTGCAGTGTATAGATCCAGGGGTTGAACGTGAGCCCGATGTTACTTTGGGCTCAAGCAAAATAGAGCTCCGCAGCTCGATATTGTGTTTTCAATGCGTACACATTCAAATTGAGTTATATGTGTAAAGTGTTCATTAATGTTTTATGTTTTGTTATGTTATGTTTTTTGGTTTTGGAACATATTAATTCACGTTGTTATGTTATGTTGTTCCAGGTTGTGCTATGAAGTTATAGATGTTATGTATATTGCATGATATATTCTTCATACGTTGTTTGTGGTTTAGGTTATCATTCCTTCGAGAACAATCCTGGCAAGATCTTCGAATGCTTCGGAGACTCTGAGCGGTGCCCGGGCGGGTTGCCAGGAACTTGTGCTGCAGGGAGAGACACGAACACTGTTGCCTGCAGTCAATGCTTACCAGGCTTGCATGGTGTGAGCGGCAAATGCTCCTTGGAAATGTGAACCCCGTTGCGTGCAATCTGCCGATTTATCGACATAATCAACATTTTTGCTCAAATTTCCTCGCGTAGTCAATCCAGTGATAGGACTTTATTTGTGTCATTAAAGTGAATTGGTGTCATGAATAATACATCTGGGCAGGGCGGGTTTTTCAGTATTTCAGCCAACATTTGATTTGTGATTGTTGAGTGGTTAATCAGCAGTATTGAATCTATCCAAGGCATACCTTGCGTTGGTGGGGACTATGCCATCTTGAGTATCTCCGCTACGCTGGTTGTATGTGCGATTGTATTGTTGTACTGGATCTTTGTGAAGGAAGGTGTCAAAGCCAGGCAATCCAGCAACTTGTTGATTGTAGGACTTGCACTCAGTCAGTTGCTTACAACAGTTCAGCTCTTCAGTGTGATCAATCAAATGCAGATCAATTGGTTGGAACCCTTGAACAGTTGGTTGGGACTTGCAAATTTGCTGAGCTTTGACCTGGACTACATCTCCATTGGCTGCGTTGCACCCCTTGCGGCCCTGCCGCGCTTCACTCTCCAGACCTTTCTGGTGTTGGCTCTTTTCCTGGTCGCAGTCCTTGTGCACTTTCTGTTCCAGGTGAAGAAAAATTTGGGCAACCAAAAGCGAGATTGGCAGAACGGCCTGCTTGCGAGGACACGAAGCAACGAAAAAGTATGAAAAAATATAGTATTATAAGATGTTCAAAATTTTGACATGTTCACACTGCCTGGTGGTGATTTGTTGAAGCCTTGTTTACGATTCCTTTGGCCTCTGAAAAACATCAAAACCCAAAAACCGCCAGGGCACGTTGCAGGCCGAAGAAACGGAATGTGTCTCACATTTTGATGCATGTGCAGAGCTCGAAAAAATATCCCTGCAATCTTTGTTTTTTGTTTTAAGCGATGAACACTTGCTGGAAGGACCTTAGGAAGCCTTTTCATGGTCTTCTACATCTCCGTCTTGGCATCTTTGCTGACTCCATTCAGATGCAATGTGCACCCCAACGGACTTTCAAGCGTGCAGGGGTACAACGAAGTGCTTTGCAATGGGAAAGACGAGCATTTGCAGATGTCCTTGCTTGGTGGCTTCGGTCTTCTCTTGCCCATCAGCTTTTTGGCGCTTTCCACATGGGTAGTTGTCCTTGTGCTTCCACAAAGATTGCGCGAAGCTGACGTGACATTCATGCAAAGTTGCAATTTCCTGTTTGCACGATTTCGGCCTGGGGCTGAGTTCTTTTCAGTCCTCTTCCTGGTACGGAATCTCTTGCTTGCATTCTTACCATTGCTACCAACAGCAAGTGCACGAGTACTAGGGATGAATCTCATGTTAGCGTTGCACGTAACTCTGACAGCGTTCTTCAAACCATGGAAGCTGACGGCCTCAAACTATCTGGAGCTTTTTCTCGGAATTTTGCTGATTTTGCTCATCACGTTGGGCACTCTTTTTGTCCGAGAGGTGGACGAATTCAGTGCCCTTGTGACTTGCGTGACGATCTTCTTAGCAACCTTCGTGGCAATTTTTGGCTGCATGCTCTTCGGTTTCATCAAATATTTGAGAGGAAAGAGGCACAAGAAGTTCAGATACTTTCTGTGTCACCACAAGAATGCAGCTGGAAGTGTGGCTCGGTTGTTGAAGATGGAGTTGCAGAAGAGAGGCCGTCAGTACACCACCTTTGTAGACTGTGATGACCTGCATGATCTCACAAAGCTGTTTTGGTATGTTGGGCAAGATACAAGCACCTTTTTGATCCTGGGATCCAGCGAAGTATTGAAGAGGAAATGGTGCGTCGGTGAGATGGTCACCGCACGGGTGCACAGTGTGCATGCACTCTTGCTCACCTGGCCCGACTTTGCGCGGCCTGACGATGCATTTATTGAACAATACTGCAAAGCGGTTCCAGACATCACTGATCTGGCAAGATTCAGCATTAGCAGGTTAGATGTAGAGGAGACTTTGCGATGGCTCAACACCTTAGAGTCCATCACGATGCCGCGCTCTGTGAACTCAGATGCTTGTCCATTCTTTTTTCTAGCATTCAAGTCCCCACATGACGTGTTGTTTGTGTAAGTTTCTTTGGAACTTTTCTTTTATTTTGCTGGGTATCCTTTCGGACAGATGGGTCCAGACAGAGATGTTTAGGGAGGGACAGTTCTTGCTGTGTGTGTTTTGCTTGCCTGCTTGGCTGGTCGGATGTATAGCCTTCGTTTCTGTTCAGTGGCTTGCCGAATCGCTTGCTTGTTTTTTTTTTTGTGTGTGTGTGCGCATGTGACTGTTTGCTTTGGTTTGCGTTTGTTTGTGCATCTATTTGTGTACTCATTACACTTTGCCTGAGGTGCCACTCGCACTGAGGAGTTTATCGAAGAAAAAACTTAGGAATAGTTGAGCAGGTGTTCAAATCATTTTGGAACTTCAAGCCTCAGGCTGAGTCACCAAAATTGGGGGAGGGGAGCAGAAGTAGAGTATCTCACCGAAGCTGGTTCTAACATGCAACAACAAACTCTGCAATTTACCCAATGTTTGTGCAGTCATGGTCAAAAGACACAGTCAGTAAGTTTTAAGTTCTTGTGTGCGGAAGAGTGCAACATACTTGTGCCATCTTGTGCCTATGGTGTTTTTGTTTCAGACATTGCCAACTACAATGCGCACCTGCCACGAAAACATTGCTTTAAAAAGCAACACGTGCTGTTTTCACAGTCTTTTATTTCGAAAGCTGCTCAAGAAAAAAGGACGGTGTTTGAGTTGTTTGGTACGAAAAACAACGAAACCGACTTCTAAGCCAAAGGAGTGTCTTCTTAGAAAATCTCATTGGCACACAGCCTCCAGTGGCTGCCAGCGTTAAGCAGACCCAGGAGGTACAGTATGAATTATTCCAGAGGTGCAGCAAAGATAAACCCTAACAGAATACCATGACTTTTCTAGCAGAAGCAATATGATTTGCGGACAGTCATCAAACATCATCGAACTCCTGTCCTACTGTTGACACATTTGTCTTTCAGGCAGGGTGTCTTGTTCCAAGTGAAGGCGGAAATGAGCTTTGAAAGGTTGAGGTTATTTTGCGAGCAGACTCCTGAAAATATTTCATAGTGTACCTTGCTTTGCTTCCCTTGAAATATTGGGGTTCGTCTTTCGAGTATCTGTCCAACGGTGTTTGGATCCACGGGAGCTTTTCTCACATGGTACTTTGCTTTCGAAAGACAGCGCATTGCCAAAACAAACCTCGCACCTGACCGCACCTGACCTGAAATCTTGCTTTTCTGACTCGCGTAAGGAAACGATTGCATCTGTGGTGGATTCTTTGTGCAACGGTGATAGAAGCATGCGGTTCCTGTCCCATGCAAAGGGAGAGTAACATGGCCTTAGTTTATCATTTTTTGTTTCCTAAATGAGGCCCAACCCCTGAAACGACAGTCAAAACTTGTCCCTTTAAGCAAAACTAGATACAAGGCCAGACTGCTGCATCATTGCAGATTTGAACTACATGGAGGCTGCTGCGACCGCGTACATTTTGTACAACATCCTCGGTAAAGAGCTGCGACGCAGCAGTCGATGCGCATCCCCCCGAGTGATAATGGAGGGTGAAGCCATCCCAGACATAGCAGAGGCTGCACTAATGGTGTGCAGCAACGGCTGCTTCTTGTGTCCCCATGTCGCGGATGTTCTTCTTCAAATTGCCAGGTTGCATCGGTGCAGCCTCCTGCCCATCTTATCGGATGACTCCTTCCGATTTCCAGATGAAGATTTCTTTAGTGAGTTGGTTCTACAAGCGCCAGTGCAAGGGCTGGATATTCGTTTGTATGCCAAGGTCATCAGGGTGGCTTGACGAAAGAACACTTTTCAGTTTTGCCAATTGCACCCCAAAAACTCAAGAGGACTGTGCCTTAAGATTTTTGTTCCAACCTGCAAGTCTTGAGCGTGAGCTTTGCAGCCTAGGTGATGTTCAAGGAGATTGCCATTGTCTTTTCGCCACTTGTCTCTGTGCCTTCTACATGGGTCATGCATCAGAGAATAATCAGGCAAGCGGTAGAGGCACATAGGTTTACGTGTTGAGTCCATTAGTTCGTGCATATTCAGCCTTGGCCGCACACCTATCTGGCCACATTTCCACAGTGTTTCCGCATTCCAAGACACGATTCCAAGACTCCAACGGTAGTTTGATATGGAGACTTGAAGGTAAGTGGAACAGCCCGAAGCCGAGCCAAGGACATATAACTCCACACAGGACGACCTTCAGCTGCGGGGCAGACAGATTGTGAATCGCATCGACTCCAATTCCAGATCCATCTCTTCGAAGCTCAACAGTCTGTTGCCGCATAGTTTGAGTGGTGACTTGGAGGCCACTGTGACTGTCACAAAAGTTCAGCGCTGAACGACTTGGGGGATCTTGGGGCCTGCGACCCAACTATTTTTGTATCTGATAATTATAGTACTATAGTTATATCAGTATTATCTGATACCCAATTTGGGTACTATAATTAATATAGTACTATAGATAGTATATCTGATTGTATCTGATAATACTGCATTTTGCCCACAAGTTCGAATCGCACGTCCCTCTTGACAAACTTGAAGCACTGCCAAAGCAGCGTGAAAACAATCAGCCCCACCCTACCGACAGGTTCCACAGGTTCCACAGGTACCACAGGTTCCACAGGCGCTTTCCATGGCCTGTGGTGGGGGGCCAGTGGCACTTTCGATAGTCACAAGGAAATCCTGCAAAGGATTAAAATAGAAATGCGGGTAAAAGGTCAAATATATTGATTCCCCACCCCCTGTTTTGATGATGATTTCAATATATTGTACTGTTCTATATTACTAGTTATTACTGTACTATATTTTTGCGCACTGAGCATTTCAATGTCGGCAGGCTATTCAAAGAACATCCAGCATAGGCTTCGAAGGCTTGAAGGCAAGGACCATTGGCAAATTGGCGTTGCGGCAGAGACACCTGCAGGACAGAAACAATATTATGGTTATATAACTTATGATTAATTTATTTATTACTATTATTAGTGTATCAGGTCTTTCAGTGTTCCGCTGGGACAGGCGGATGAGAAATCTGAGAAGGATCAGGATCTTCACGATCCTTCTGAAGTGAAGGGTGAATTGCTCAAGCTTTACTCTGCAGAATTCGAATGTCCCACAACTAGTTCTTCTTTTTGACTTGCGGCAAAGCCAGCAAGTCACGATCCATGACATTGTTTGCGTCATGCCTTCTTATTTCTTTAGTTTTTGAGAAACACTTGTTTGAGTCTGTCAAAGGAAGACTTGACCTGTGTATATCCTAGAATTCCAAGGGAAGTTGTTTGCCCTTCTCACGTTTCAGACTAGAAACTACTAAACAGGCAGGCCCAGCCGATCTGAGCAGTATATAGGCTTTACATGTGTTGCCAAGGAATGTGAGAACTTTTGCGTGAAGAGGTCACAAGCTAATCTTCTGACGAGATAACGAGGAAGTCACTCAGATTTTTCGTGTACATAAGAAGCAAATGGCAGTCAACACAATAAAAGGAAGAGTTTGCAGATGCTGAGCCAGTTTACCTCCCTTTGGTGCTGTTGGGTCTGCTAGACTGCCAGAGATGATATATGACAGTGATTGACAGTGTTTCTATGCGTGCAAACGCAGTGTTCCCGGCCGATCTGCAAAGTTATGGTCCAAATGGCAGTGAATTCCACAAAAATTGAGTGTCCTGTGTCATCCCAAGGGTAACAATGAATTCCTCCATCCCAAATCAATGCCAGGATCCCATTGATTGCCATGATCAAGCATCAAGCATCCTGATCTGGCTGAGACTCGAAACCCTCAAGTGGTTTTTGAGTCCCTGGTGCTTGATTGTAAAGGAATTGATGCCATTCACCGGCCACGCGCTGCCATGGTGATTAGGCATGGAACTGCAGCTTTGTCCCGGATTGGAAGGACACGTGCCAAAAAACTCAATGGCAATCTGGGGATATCTGGGGTCCCTGTAGCATGGAGGTAGCGCATCTAAATGCCAGGCAAGGGACCTATTGACGTCTATTGACATTCAATTTGCGATGTCCTGTGAGACCGCACCCGAGTGCCCTGCAAGGAGACACCCCTTCCTGTTTGGTGTAGCCATGTCTGCCATCAAAACCAGCGCCTCTGACTTTATGGCACAGACTGTAGTGGAGCGGAGGGAACAGGCGCAACATCCCTTTTGAGCCATGCATTTTGCATCATTTTGCAGTCCAAAGTGTCGGAAAGATCCAATGATTTAAATGATTTACTTCAAATTTACTCCATTCTTTCAGAATTCCTGATGCCATGCAGCTGAGCAGGTGGACCTACGTCGCAATCTGATCTTCTGCACTTGGGGCCTCCTCTACCTGGGCGGTGTGCAGTATTTCATGTCGCTTACCGCATTTAGATCATTTGGCGAGGCAAATGGTTCACTTTTCAGCTTCAATACCTGTCAGTAGCTGTCAGCTGTCAGTAGCTGGCCAGAGCTGATGCAACAGCCAAATGTGATCGATCCGATCCAAGTTACGTCCATCTCTTCGCCCGGCGCTGGTTTCCTGATGCGATGGCTTTCGCAGCAAAAAGCTGGCGCGCGAAGCTCGCGGACACTGCCGGCCAGCGGACGGTATTGAAGCAGGCCGATGGCAACGATTTGTTCAAGGAGTTGGATTATTTTCATTTGACCCTACAACAGTTTTGCAACATCTTTAACTCTTTTAACTCTTTTGCCTTTGATCCCAATTTGTTCTTTCATACCTTGAAGAACCAAGAGAGACTATTTTGTTTGCATTTTGTTTGCAGTGTCGAGCAGTGTCGAGGTGTTTCTGGATCAGTTTGTGCTCGGATCTCAGGGAATCAGAGCTCTGAGTGCAGAAACTCTGCTGTCAAGATCGAGTGACTCTGTCAAGGCACCATCCCTTCATCCTTTTCCCAGCCTTCTACCAAGTGAAGGAGTTCATTGAAGGTGGTACACCATCCGAAGGCCGAGAACATCCGACACTGGAGCGAACAAAGAGCAACTCACAGCCAAGCTCAGGTTGGCGGAAGTTTCGCCAGAATCAGGTGCAAGACCTAGATTTGGAATGGGAAGGGACATTTCATTCACCTGAAGATGTCAGCTACTTACAGCTACTTGGCTCATTCACCAGGTGGAAGACCTGAAATTAACCTGGTTTCTACCTCAGACTCCAGTCCCGTTCAGTGGCTTCAGTGCATGGGCAAGAAAAGATAAACACAAAGCAGACTGATTTGTTTCTATGCCAAAGATGAGTGTAATGTAGCCGAACGACAGCTGTCTCAGCATTCATTTCTCTAACAAAGTCCCTTGTAGCATCTTGTAGTGCTGTCGTAGATCAGGTCTGTGTGGATCCCAGTCTTTCTGCTGAACTTCTCCTTTAGCCCGAGGCTTTGCTTTCCCAAACTGATGAGTGGTGGGAAATAGTAAGATTGGACGCATCCAAGTGGAAAGCTGATCACTTTGATCACTTTCCAAGGTCCACTTTGGATGCGCGTGCCAGTCGTGGCGATTGTGTCCTTTGGTGGATCTGACGAGTTTTAGGGCAGAGTGGCCGGCGAGGGCAAGTTCAAAGGAGAACACCGCGATGTTGGAGCGCTTAAAGTTGGAATGCAAAGAAATGACTTTGAAACGGACCTGGCGGAGATGCACGTTCCATGTCCTATGTCGTGCCATTCCTTCGATCTGTTGTACTACCAACTCTGTAGACAGTAGTCGTTGGAAGCACTTGCCAGGCTTCACCACGGCTCTCTCCTGTCTCAGAGGCAGAATTGAATCTTGCTCCACTCTTCCTCTCTGCTTGTTTTTCAAGGTAGTTGTACTATGTTGTAGCCTTCAAGGATATGAAATATGACACATCTTTTATCTGTAATTAATTGCAGCGGAGGAGCACCAGAGCAATGATCGAAAGCCTGGAGAGACCTGCCAGGCCTACTGCGTGTCTAGATCCCAACTCTGCAGACAAGTTCAGTCCATATATTTTTGGAGCAAAACATGTCGCAGGTCAAACTTCGCCGCTAACAAGGTGGCGTTCGCAGAACCATTCGCAGCCAACGAGCCTGCGGAGCGGAGAATCTGGTGGCCTCTGTGTTCCAGAGACCACCTCCAAACATGGAACTGTTTAGGGCTAAGCCAGGCTGTCCAGCCTCGGTCTCTTCTCAAGGTGGGCAGTAGCGAAGTCTGATAGATCTGATAGAGATAGACTATAGATAGTTCAGTTGAGTCGTGTGAGTCGTGTGAGTCGTGTGAGTCATGTTCAATGCTCCAAGTTGCTACCGATCTTGATGCAAGCATCGCTCCTGCGCGTCTGAAAACATTCAACATCGGGAAAAAAGGTCTTGATGATTCATATGCAAGGCAATGGCCATGTCTATTCCTGCCAAAGGCAGCAGGGTTCCATTTTCTCAAGTTTCTGAGATTTCCACAAGTGTCCCTTGCTGTTCACACTTTCAACGGTGATTTTTTGCTCTCTATCGAAGCAGAAGTAGGGCAGCGCATGGACAGAGCAGTTTATTCACAGACAGCAGAAAAGCACCTGTGTACATATCCAGATACGAGTAATGACCCATGATAAATTTCTGCACAGACAAAGGATTAAGGCCATGCTTTGGCAAGACAAGACAGGTTGCTCCTCTTTGGGGAATCTACTAGGTACAGCTTTGGAGTCACAATCACAGCTATATACGCAAGCCAAATCTGTAGCGATTCTTGTGGCCATTTTGTGTACAATACTACTGTTTGGATCTCAATGATTTCTGAGCCGTGCAGCTTGTTGTTTGTAGACCTGCAATTTTGACCTGTGCAGCATGCCACAGTTCGCATTGTAGGAATAGACGCCACAGATGTTTCAGTTTTGCATAGGTCCCTCAAGCTGAACTGTGCGACCACTTTATTCATTTGATCTTCATAGGGTGATTTCGGTGTTCGCCTGGCCCGCTAAGGTCTCTTCAACCACACGAATATGGAGACCACAGATGAGCCAACCCTGCAGGCACACTGAGACCATTCCAAGTCTTGAAGTTAGAGCAGATTCCACAGCTTCCTTTGCAGGAGATGGATACCGAAGGAAAGAACACAGATGCTGCATATGCTGCAGATGTTTCTTGGAGAACTCTTGGATTCTGAGACAAGTTTGGTTGGATCCTCTGGACCAAGTACTGTGTTGGGAACTGTGGCTGCCGGGCAACTGAGAGAGGAGTTTGTAAAGAATCTGGTGACAGGCAACATTTAATTCTGGTCCACAGGGTCGGTCTTACTATAGTAACTATAGTATATACAGATATACAGACATGTATATACTGTTACATACTACACAATTATACACATGTATGACATACCTTGTACTCATAATGATCATAATGCATATACTTACGTATACTTACCATTGCTTATGCATTGCTCCATGGAGTGGCCAGGCTGAGCTGCAGTTCGAATCACCACCGCCAGCCTCTGAAGGCGAAGAGATCGAGGTCGAGGCCAGCGGTTCAGTTGCCACGTCCGTCGTGCCGGTCCTGTGAACTCAGGAGGCAGACGAGACGATGCCGGTGACACAGTGTCATGGCAAGAAGAGGATTTTGCTGTGTTGATCTGTGTTGTATTTTAAAACCCATTTCTCTGTAGTTGGATGTGAACTGTTGGAGACATGAACTATAGTAACTATAGGCTATAGGCGATATATATATATATATATATAGAGGTCCTATAGATATTCCTGCCCTGTGGGAAACATGAGAAACAGTGTGAACGACGGAGATCTCGTGACTAGCCTTGACTCACCTCCATGGTCAATGCCCTGACCCGAAGTAGGGCGTTGAATATGTTGAATGTTCCACACATCTAAGGCCTGATGTCTCGCATCCTGAGGAGGCTCGCAAAGGGATGAGCTTTCGATGGTCTGACAGATTTGGGAGCTCGGAGTCTCGGGTTGGGTTCGTTCAAAAACTCTGGCGATAACTTCTTTGTGCTTCGATGGTGCATTGTTTGCTTGTGCTACTTGAATCTACTTTATGATCTTTATGGGTTATCAGGACACCTTCCTGAATTCCTGGCGTGCTCCCCCTTGCTGGCCCTTGCTGTCAGCTGGGGTCGGATTTCAGTGTCGAAGTGATTCATGATGTGCTTAGAAAAGCTGGGAACTGCACTGAGATTGTGACGTGTTCAGTTGATGTTTCTGAGATTTCCTAAAGCCACAGGAAGCTGTGGCGGATCCTCAATCCGTGGAACCAGAGAGTCTGAAGCCAGAGCCTGTGGAGCCCATGGAGCCCATGGAGCCCATGGAGCCCGAATCAACGGAAGCAACGGACCCAGAGCCGGCGTCGCCACAAGAGAAGGACCTGCCGGAGCTGAAAGCTCCAGAGCTTCCCAAAGAGGCGAGAACTCCGAGAAAGATCGAGCCAGTTGAAGGAAGTAGACATAGATCTTACAATGTAGAAGTATGTAGAAGTCACTTGCTATATCTTGGACATAGAAATTCAAAGGAATCAAATGATATCAAATGCGATTTCATTCGATTTCTTCTCGGATTCGTGTGGAACTTCTTTGGGTGGCACTCTACTCATGCTCTACTCAGGCGCAAGGACCTGCGCCAAAATTGAGGAACTTTTTCCGGCGCCATGCAGAGGAGATGGAGATGGGTCCAGATGGGTTTGGGATGGCTTTGGATAAATTGTGAGACACAGAGGATTTCATGATTTCATGACTAAACGGACTAAACTGACATTGCCTCCAAACTCCTTGAATTTCCATGAGTTGTTATTGCGAGTAAACCATGGTAACCAATCAATGTTGTTCAGATCACGTGGCATCGACCCAGGAGGGTCGCAGACACAATCCTGTGAGCACTTCGAAGATTGGCAAGATCGTCGCTCCGGCGGTTGAGATCGTGGAGAAGGTGAACGAGGAAAATGGCGATGCTGGCGATGCTGATGACGAGGCTCAGATTGGAGAGGAAATGGAGCATCCTGCGGAGCATCCTGCGGAGCCGGCGGTAGACGTGCCTGAGCAGCCTGAAGAGCAGCCTGAGGAGCAGCCTGAGGAGCAGCCTGAGGAGCAGCCTGAGGAGCAGCCTGAGGAGCCGGAGCAGCCCGAGCATCTTGCAGAGGAGCTTGAGCAGCCTCCAGAGTCAGAGCTGGCCAATATCGACAAGGCCGAACAGAGCCCAGATCAGTCTGAGGCGAAGCTTGACAACAGTCTTGAAGACACTGGAACCCTGACAGAGGATGCAAAAGTGGAGGGACAAGAAACAAGTGCCTTTGCCGCATTTGAACAGATTTGAAATATGATGAGTACATGACATTTGTAGTGGAAAATGACAATGTGTCTAGCTGAACCCTTGCTTCATCCCCGCCATTCCTTAATGTCCCAGGCCGTCCATTCACAGAGGCTGAGGAGGCTTCTGGACCTTTAGATCCAAAAAGGATACTTGATACACTTTTCATTGCGCGGGTCATCCTTAGTGACATATTTGTATATATTTGTCACATTTCAATACATTTCACTTGTATAGAGGCCTGTGTCCCAGAAGTACCAGCATCTGGACGTGCAAGTCTTCGCAGTTCCGAGCCTGAAAGAAGGTGCCCAAATGTTTGAAGAACCATGGGAAATGATTCGACACACGAGGCAAACTATGTTGAATTTCAAATCTGCATAAATCTGCTACCTGCAACTCTTGGCACATTGTGATTCCAAGGGTAGGAACCGGGTAGGATGCAGCTGCAAAATGGCAATGCACAGCCAGGTCCAAGTCAGCTGCTCCCTTCTTGGTGCCTCAACAGTGTCTATTCGGTCGAGGACATGTTGTGAGCATTATAAACAGTTATATTCGTAATTCCCTCGCGCTCCACCCGGTAAGGATTTTCTAGGTGGGCGCATCATTTTCCCGCCAGTTCAACTTGAAAGGCGATTCAGCCTGCTTTCTGTCTTGCACGAGGCAGAGATGCCAGAGCAGCGTGAGCTGGCAAGGCCTTGGAGAGATGTATTGCCAATGCTACTGTCACGCGTTTGGACCGTTTGGCAATGAAAGTAGCTGAAAAGAAAGACATCTGAAATGACCCATGCCTTAAGAAATTATTCCAGGCTATCAACTAGGTTATGGAATAATTTCTTTTGGAATAATTTTCAAGGAATAATTTTTGAGGGGGGTAGGTATACGATTATGCATGTTGGCATTTGAAAATCATGATCCAGCCCGTCAAGATACCCCGGAATAATTAGGTTTTGGAATAATTTTTGGTAACTTAAAACATCTTGAAGCAGCCTATACTTCCTAGGTTTGGCCTGGCCTTTCCAAAAGCCATTCCTAGCTTGGCGGTGTTTGCCTGAAAACTTTTTGCTGGAAATGCCAATTGCAGTTATTTAAGGCATCATGCAGTTTGGGCAATTGCTGCCAACCTTTTTTTGCAGCATACTTGCACGCACAACTAGTGTCGACCGGACCACCTTTCTCTCACGGTACTTTCTCTCGAGAGCTCTTTGGGTGGCAATGAATGGGGAATGTTAGGAAAATACCTAGGAAAAGGCCAGGTTGAGTGCCATTGTGTGGGCTTTCCCCAGGGGGGAAATTATTCTAGGGGTATTGGAGATGCCTGGTACCCCTCAAAAACGAAAGCGGACAGCTAATCACAAAATTAGCCCAGAAATTGGCAAGAATTGCCAAAAAAACAAATGAAACCCCACACATTTCCCACCCATTCCCACTATGGCCAACGGGAGTTTTTTGGAAGGAAATGAAGGGAATATGGAAGAAATAGGGGCGCGGACGCAAAGTTGGGAAAACCTCTAGAAGAGAGCCAAGTTGTTTTTTTTCTCCGGGCTTTCCCCAGGGGAGAAATTATTCTGGAGGTATTGGAGATGCCTGGCACCCCTGAAAAACAAAAGGGGGCAGCTGCTACAATCACAAAACAAATCCAGAAATTGGCAAAAAAATTAACCAGTGACAACCAAATATTTTGCTTTTCCCACTCATTCCCACTAAGGCCAGAACCACCAAACTAGCCCAGTTTCAAACACCCAAAACAAACTAAAACCATGTTCAGCCAGTGGGTTGCTGAGAGGAAATTTGTTTAAAGATACTATCCTGACTCTTCTTGATCCTATCTGAGTATGTTGAAAATTGTTTAAATTTGTGCCCCAGCTCTGCAAGAAGGGAAACCGTTCTCGGCCGTTTGCGCGCAGCTGCTTACGATCACTTGCGTTTGGCTAGAAATAGACTATACCGGTATCATTTTGATGGAAATTATTCCATTTTTCCATATGAACTCATGAGTTCTTAGAATAATTTATTTTTTTGAACTCAACGGGTGCCGGAATAATATTATAATTATTCTGAGGTATGTTGACGGGGGCATCCCCTTAAGGCATCCCTCATCATCTGAAATTCAGGTTTTGGTCCCTTTCACCTGAAATTCACTGGGAGGCGTGTGTGGCGTGCTTCTGCGGTGCCAAGGCAAAATGGGAAAACTCGATCAAAATTCTTTGTAACATGCTTGAAGAATTGGAGACAGGTCTTACACGGAAGCGACATGGAACTATTGGGCAGATATGGATGGTTCGTGACGTCTTCAGTGCAGATCTCCGTAAAGTTTGAATATACTTGCGATTGAACACACTGCAGAGCAGCTCCGTGAGCTTTAGACTGACGGAAATGGTGGGGATGCACCCATGCGTTTGGGTTGTTTCCTCATGCTGCAGCGCCTTGCAACCAGGGCTGGGAAGCCAAGAGTTCAGGACTTTGCCGATGAATGTGTTGCAGGGGCCACGTGACTCTTCGATTTCGTCAAATTGTGGAATCATTGGCAAATTATATCAAATTATACTGTTCATTTGGTTCGCGCGCTGGAAAATGCCATTGTCATTTGGTCGACATCATGACGGAAGTTAGGGAAAGTGAAGTTGTAGAGATCGTTGACCCAATGACAACATGTCCGATATGTCCTCGCTCAGGAGACGTTGACACATGTTCCACAAGTTCCACAAGGCCGAGGCCAGACATAGGAAGTCTCCGACAAGCCAACAATTCAACTTCTACTTGTCAACAGACAGTTTGGACATGTTTGGACATGATCTACTCATACTTAGTCCCAAACACTCACCACAAGCATGACAGATTTTGGATTTAAAGGGACATGGCTCCAAACTGTGCGAATCCATGCAGAAGATGTTGAGCCATGCCCATTTTGATCATGTCTTTGGCGGCCACTCGAAAGGTGCTCCCCATCGTCGAGATGAGAACAGGACGTCGTCGAGCTGCATGATGTGCGCTGAATGTCACAAAGTCACAATTGAGTTTTTTTTTTTTGGAAGACAGCTTCAGTATGCTTCAGTTCTGTTGGACAAGGACTTTTTCTTACCAGGAGAATTCTACGAGGCAAGAACGGGCCTCGCTCCGTGTCTCCTCGAGAGGCGGGAGTGTGACTCCTTGATCCTGGTGAGTTGGAGACCATTTTGGGATGGTTAAATCGGTTAAATCCGTTAAATATCCAGAAAATCTAAGAAATTCCACGGAAATTCCAAGAATATCATAGAATATCCAATCCCAAACTCTTATATTTTCTCGGCCCACATTTTGCAAACCGCCAGCCTTGAGGTGGCTTCTCGCAGAACTCCGTCAGCAGGCGCGCAACGGTGGTCGATTGCTGTGTTGAGATTGGATTTGTCTTGCAGACAACTGGGAAAAAGAAATCAGGAAGAGGCAGTTACATGTTCATAGATTTTTGCTCTGTTGGTTGAACATTTGTTTCCCTTTGATGTGAACTTGTTGTGACAGTCCAACACGGTTGCTAAGGTAATCATTGCATATCACGTAAACTCTTTTTCCTGCTGGAAATCGCACACTGCAGACAGTAGAGGTAATGATGGTGAGAGCTCTTCCCGACCTCTTCTATCAAAAGTCGCTTTCAGTGATGCATGGAAGGTGCAAAAGGAATCACAGATAAACATTTTGCTTTTTCATTAACAAAGGGGTTGCAGTTGCCAGCCTGCACATTAATGTATAAATTGGACTCACACAGCCTTTTCGACAAGGATAGTGGAGGGAAAGAATGCAACAGGAAAACTCACGGTAATTGCGGTGCATAACAATGCATAACATACATCACCATCATCACCGTTACACTTTCAGATGGCCGAGCGTGGCCAGATGGCCTCCAAGTGGCCAATAGGAACTCAGGACATCTGAAGGATCAGCCACAGATCACCTGCACCATGGCCACCACGCCCAAGCGCGCCCTGCGATGCGCCATGGTTTGGATTTGTCGGAGCTGCCTGCTGAGTCTGCTGAGTGCAGGATCAGGATTTGCAGGACGGCAATTCCACAGCTCTGCTGACATGGACTCAGGCAGTATTGCTGACATTCGTATTACTGACATTGAGAGATCCACTTGCAAGCGTCAGGGCTTGCCTTTCTTTCTCCGAGATCCATATGGAGCGGGGGTGGCGGGAAGAGGCTGGCTTTTCCGAAGTGCTGCGGACTTTGGAGCCGACAGCAAACACAAAACAGCGAGTGTATTTCTTTTGACACTGCACTGAGCACTCCAGGCTGCCCTTGTGAAGAATCCTCACTGATTTTTTGCGATTGGATTTTGGTGTCAGATCACCGGGTTCAGCTTGTGGGAGGCATCCTGTGATTACCTGGGCTGAGCCACTGACATCGGAGAGGAGTGTCGAGGCACATGATCCTTCTGCACATGATTCAAGGGACGTGCAGTAGATGCCCCAAATCCATCCAAATCCTGCTTATATGATTGACCTTTGGTGATTTGGACTTTTGATTTCAAATTCCACATGAACATGTTTGGCAGATCATGGCAGATCAATCTTCCTCTGTGCCGAAGACTGATTTTTGCCATGTGAATTTGTTTCAGGAACTCTTAGGCCAAAGCTTGCCTTTCCTCACAGACACCCACCTCCTGGCGAAGAATATCAGCTACGAGGCCAGCATTCCTCGGACGTGTTTTGTGCCGCTCCTAATCACTCCACACTCACTTTACTTGGTCTTTACAGCATTTTTGAAATCTCGTGACGTGTCACGTCTCGGCAGGGTCCACTGGCCTCACTCCATGGTCAAGAGGAGTATAGCAAGGCAATGGAGCAGTGGCAGAGACTTCTCCCTGAACGCTTGGAAGGCTTTGAGGCTGGATGAAGTACCTTAAGCTTTTGAATCCAAAGTGGATTTGCTGAAGCACTGAAGCACGCAAACACATCACTTCGTGTAGACTGCTTTTTGGAATCCTGAATCATTACATCCATCCACCCATCCATCCATCCATCCATCCATCCATACCTTCTCTCAAGAGGTTTCTGAGATGGAAGCGTGGCAGCTAGAACCTGGTCTCATCACAGCCCGTTGGCGCGTGTCCTTTGTGGCGCCTCTGCCGCCCACGTTGAAACTCTTGGAGCTGCCGGAGGACGTGCCCAAGATTCCCGGTGCGGCCGTGCGGGTTGAGACCACCATGAGGTTCGGTGGTTGAAACAAAATCCAACGGTTTAAGCATCAGAATCAAAGGTTTAAACATGTTTAAACGGTTTAACCATGTTCCCTATTCGAATGGCTTTTGGCTGATATTGTGTTAATATAGTTTCCTTACCATTTGCAGACACAGAAACTTAAAACTTATTAGCAGAATTGCTTGAAACTCCCACCCGCAACCCGTTTGCAGGGCTGAACTCACCTTGGATTCTTCGGGTCGTGTGGTGCGGCACGAGGAAGCCATTGCCGCTGGCTTCGGCATGTTGGATGCCGTCGCCCGCTATGAGCTGCTCACAGCACGACGCCAGGAGGCAGAAATGTCCAGTATGGTTCCTGAACTGTCAGACAATTTTCATCATGGACCTACCTACCTACCTACCTACCTTTCTACCTATCTACCTATCTACCTATCTATCTATCTACCTATCTACCTACCTACCTATCTATCTACCCACCTATTTATCTATCTACCTATCTATCTACCTACCTATCTATCTACCTATCTATCTAGCAATCTATCCAATCTAATCTAATCTTATCCTATCTTATCCTATCCTATCTTATCCTATCTTGAATCTTATCCTATCTTAACCTATCCTATCTTGTCCTACCTTATCCTATCTTATCCTATCTTATCCTATCTTGTCCTACATATCCATCCATCCATCCAATATGCTTGAATCATATTCCAGATTTTTCCCTAGCTGCTCTGGCGCAGACCTCTTGGTGATGCAAAACCAGTGAACTGTTCCAGGCTGATCCTTTCACCTGGTACTGGCGGGTCTTGAAGGAAACTTCCCTTGAGGAGCCAAATCAGAGTGGTTGCAGCCAGGATTGATACTCCAGAGGCACCGAATCCGGCTGTGGCTCCAGGAGATGGCCTTCTACACCAACAACCAGGCTTCAACGGAAGAGCTGGAATGGAAATTTAATGAGATGGTGCCACCCCAGCATTTTAGATGTCACTGCAAAACTGGAAGGTGAACACGAGTTGGACAATTCGCCTCAAACCAGCTCCAGCATCTTCCAGTAGTATTCCAGTAGTCTTGCAGCCTTCCTGAGGTTTTGCGAAACTTTTTCTATGGTGCTGTGTTGGGTGTGGCGTTCTGGATCACTTTGAAGCTAACCATCGCAGCTCGCATGGCCAACTTGCTGGAAGAGAGAGCTGGTGGCGGCTGAAAGAGTGCCCAGTGTTCTGTATTTGGTCGGGCTTGTGGCCTGGAAATACGGTGAACCAGAATCCTTGGTGGTTGATGGTCGCACGGGGTTAGAGAGTTAGACTGATTGTTTACTGGGGAACATTGCAATCCAATATGGGAAACCAACAACCACAAAGGGATGTCTTGGTCTTCGGCGCTGCTGACTTGAATTCTGTGCCGTATGGGACGCAGTGGTTTTCAGTGCCTCAAGAGGAGGAAAGACAAGTCAAGTGAGCGCGCATGAAATGATGGTAATTTGGGCAAGAACTGGATATTTATGCAGATGACTCACTTCAGAAAAAACAACCGCACAGCAAGAGCAAACCCCGAAACCTTTTCGTTTGATACCTTTGAGTGGTACCAGCATACAACTGCCATTGCTCTCTTCTAGCTGACAGGCGAGACTCCCGAAAGGAAACTGTTTCTCCCTTAAGCATATCCGAAGATATCTGAAGCAAGGTCTTAGATACATGACCTGATCTAGCGTGATCAGTACCGCCTTGCATTTTCTGATGCCATGCCGCGGAGCATTGCCCTCATCGCGCCAGATGAGATCGTTGTCGCATGGCTTGATTGTAATTCCTTTCAACCCGTAAACAGTCATAATCATAGCACTTGCAAAGCACACGGAACAGGACTTTTGGATATGATGGGTCCGACCCCATTTTCGAACAATCCTCAACAGCAAGAAAGCCCTGCAGCTTGCATGGCCCAGGGAAATAGCGAGCCATGACTTTTCACGGTTTGGATTCTTTTCTAAGGGTATGTTTGCCATTGTTTGCCTACAACAACTCATGACACTCATGACTCTCCCATGACATAGCCATTAATTTCTGAGCCCATTTGAACATTTAAGCAATGGAAAGTGACTGATAGTCACCATTAGTCACCACAGTCACCCAACGAGCACCGTAACGCTGAGACTCTTGAGGCCGGTGCAAGCGGTCTGATGGCTCTCTCCACCAGGAGGTGGCAGCAGGTTGGACTCTGGATGACTTTTCACTCCGGTGATCCAACACCTTGACTCCATTCCATTGGAATCATTGAAACATTACTAAAATATTTCAAAAGTTGTAGTTGTAGTTGTTTGTGCCTCTACTTGATATGTCATTTCTGGGAAAGTGACTCTTGGGATCTGTGGGCCATGTTTTCACTGGAAATTGAGGGATGTGCATCGGTGGAACCCACAATTTCATGCCCAATATGAGCCAATATGTCAAGAAAGTCCGATTGAGATGATTAAGTGTGTCTAGTTTGATATCAAGGGAATTCAAGGGATACTTATGCTGTTGCTGCAGGTATTCTGTGAATCCTTCCAGATTTGATGAACCGTTCGCGTTTGGGATTCTTCCAACGTCACTTGTGATCAAAATGTGAGAGGCCTCCTTTCTAACGCCAGAGTTGCCACTGCAGCTGCCGCAGTTGCCACAGTCCTACTTCAGTACACCGGAAGGGATCAAGTGCCGTGACAAAGTGAACACGACGCTGACCGAAGATGACAAGAAAGGAAGCTTGGATGATTCCATTTTTTTCCGATATGATTCGATGATACATGCCTGGATAATTTATCATGAAATTGCACCCGAGATTTTGGCCAACTCAGGAGCAGCAGATGACTACACACTGCACCACCTAGAGAAAGTTGCTACTGCAATTAGTTCCATTTGCAAGAGAGCCATTCAAGATCTGGAAGGTGATCCAGCCGAAAGACTTGCCAAAATCCAAGCTGGAGTGGAAAGCCTCTTCTAGCTGCTAGCTGCTCGACTGCGCTGCATTGCTCAGACTGAATTCATTTTTTGGTTTGTTCAAACATCATTGAAAGCGCGATACTGGCATTCCTACGGGTTTTGCCACGATTTGTCCCAGTTTCTGTGTCGAAAATGCTTCTGTTGGCTGGTGGTGTGGGATTTCTTCTGATGCCTAGGCAGCCTCGCTAGCAAATTCCCAGCGACGGGAGCTCCCGAAAACATGCACTTGATTGCACAGCGCAAAATGTGCTGAAGGTACACATCATGATACCCTCGAAAGCATCGCAATTCTACAGTGCATTCACTCGGATCAAAAGGATTTGGTCTTCATCATTTGGTCATGTTTGTTGTTCGCACAAGGTCCCTGGTCAGGTCTCTGTTCCTTCTGGTTTCGGCTCAAACCACTGCAGGATTGTGAGGAAATCACTGCAGTGTGCACTAGCCATTTGGGCAGACACTTGCAGCTCACAATCTCTGTACCGAACCTCCATATCCAGCGTATGTCTTCATGCGGAGCAGGGCAGAATGTCTACTGCCAGTACTGGTAGTGGGCGTTTGTTGTGGTGAACTTTGCGTGAAGACCTCAGTGATTTCGAGAGAAACAGATGTTGGAGTGTTTGCGTGACGGCTAAATGTATTTCTTTCAGTGCTTGGGGAGAAGCTCTGGACATAATTCATTCACCCAGGACGTTTCCAACTCTTCAGTGGATGAGTGCGACCTTCAGGTTCATGAGTTTCTGAGTTTCTTGATGTTTTCTGCCGTTTGTGTCTGGAGAGTTGGAGATTCATTTAGATTTTACCTCGTAGCGACTCCAAATGGCAACGCTGATCTTAGAAGGTGGAGCTGATCCAAACAGCGTCGATTTTGGAAGAGCGGGCCGCAACCTCATTTGCGACGAAACCGCCGACCAGGGCCGTTGAGGTCTCTGTTGAGCAGAGTTGAGAGAATCAACCGTTGAAAACACCTCTGTTGACGGCCCGTTCGGGTGCCAAATTCTTGGCGCCCTAGGTTCAGCCGAAAGGAGATGCGTCACAACCTTTGTTGCTTTCATCGATTTGGCCTGCAGTTCTTGGATGACACTGGAATACTTCATAGACTCAGCATGACTCAGCTGTTTGAGGTTTGAAGATGCTCCTCTGAGGGCTTCTGCTTTCGATCATGAGGCAGAGTACTGAATATTATCCGCACACATTGTTGTTACTTCGATTCTAACTTCGAAGGAAAAGCACTCTGACAGACCCAAGAGCAGATCTACAGAATGCCGTTGATCCCTGTGGAAGATTCGGTGTCAAATCTTGACAACTTACCGTCACCAAGATGATTCCATGCAGCCCCGGGATTGAATACTCTCCCCTTCAGGCCCTTCAGGCCCCGAACTCCTTGGTGAAGGCTCTCCTTGCCAAGGCTGAGATGCTGACGTCAGTCCCAATGACGGCATTTGAATATCCTGGGGAATCCTCTGAAACTTCTAGACACTTTAATTGAAGCTCCAGAATGCAGCAGCTAGAGATCAAGACTTGCATGCTCAGATTCAGAACCCTGAGAGAGTGCTGATGATAGAGAGCAGCAGCACTGCAGGAGAGGCGGTAAGGGCA